TAGGGGGAGGGATATACGGGAAGGATCTGTGACCACCATGATAACATTAGGAAATGGGAGGACACTGAATTGTGCACATAAGAGATAGACAACAGTTGCTAATACCAACCAATGTGTCCACAATACTGCATTGCCATTAACACCAAACACCAGGATACTGATAAACACATAAACACCTGAGATGATCAGACAGGGGTCAGTGTACAGAAGTATACTCTTGACCAAGGATAGATTCAGCTGAGGCTAATCTTGGACAGACACCAGTGATACAAAATACCTGTAGTCCTTACAGAAACAATAGAAGATAGACACAGAATAATCCCTCACAGACAACCAGACACTATGGGAGAGAGATCCAATAGATCTACTGTCTCAGGACCATAGTACTGGGAGACACCAGACTCAATCGGCACAACAAAATACATAAAAGCCTTGCTCCACATCCTACATTGGTGAGTAGTGACCGGGGTTTTAAAAGTTTTCAAGCAGCCATCTAAGATGCAGCTAATGGTCTCCTAGTGTCGGAAGCGAAGAAAAACACACACACACACACACACACACACACAAAGGACATTTAGAAGCAATCAGCCATAGGACACGATGGCTCTAGAGACCAGAAGAACTAGATGGTGCCCTGCTACCAATGCCAACCACTCAGGAAAGGATCAAATCCGGAGATCCTGGATAGAGTGGGAGGGAAAATGTGGAACAAAATCCAAAAACTCAATAATAACCAGAATTACTGGTCAGATGAAATTTGGCGAGACCCCCAGTACTATGGCCCTGGAATACATTCTGTGCTTGGAATAAAACACATCCCCAGGGGCTGGCTCTCAGCCCAATAGTTAATAAGATGTACACGCAGACCACTCAACCCAGGATGATGCACCCACATACTCTATGGTAATACATGCCTTAGAGCAATAGACTACGGGACATCAGAGGACCAACATTCAAACTGAGGAAATGCAGGACAAACAGGAGTGCATAAATATGAGGGCCACAGGGGGAGGGTTACAGGGTAGGGAGGGGAGGAGGCTGGGTTAGGGTTGGACATGGTAAATGGGGATTGAAACTAAATGTACACATAATGTTGAATGTAAAACAAGCTGTTAAAAAACAACAACAACAACAAAAAAGGGCATTTGGAAGCAATCAGCCATAGGACACAATGGCCCTTGAGATCAGAACTAGATGGTGCCCAGCTACCAATGCCAACCACTTGGGAAAGGATCCAAACTGGAGATCCTGGTTAGAGTGGGAGGAAAAATGTGGAACAAAATCCAAAAATACAATAATGACCAGAATTACTGGTCAGATAGAGTCTGGTGGGACCCTCAATACTACAGCCCTGGGATACACTTCGGGCCTGTAATATAACTCACTCCCAGGGGCTGGCTCTCTGGCCAAACAAGATATACACACAGACCACTCAATCCAGGGTAATGCACCCACCTACTCTTTGGAGATGTATCCCTTGGAGCAATTGACCACAGGGCACCAGAGAGGCAACATTCGCATGGAGGAAATGCAGGACTCACATGGGGTGGAGATTACTGGGAAGGGAGGGGAGGAGAGGGGGCTAGGGTTGGGGATGGTAATTGGGGAGTAAAAGCAAATGTTCATGAAATGTTGAATGTAAAACAAACTCTGCTCTGCAAACTTTCACCTAAAGCACAATTAAAAAATGAAAATAAAATCCTTCTTCTCTAACATTTATTAAATACCACAGACATCAAACAAGATCCCAAATGCTAAACAAGACCCAGCAGTCCTTGTCATAGTATGGCTGTTTGAAATATCAACATAAAACACCTCTAATCCCAAGTAATATCTAGGAATAGCTGATTCACATGCTCTTTCTCCTTAGATAGATACCTAACTCTAGGTTATCATTTTCTTTAGAGATGGCAGTATAAGTTTCCTTGATTCTTCAGCCTTTTGAATATATTTAATATTCAAACCAGTTCTTCACATATTTAAAAATGTTTGCCACTTCTTTCAAGAACTAGCTCTAGATTTCACTTCTTATAAGACTTTTATCATTATTATCTACTGCTAAATCTCTTTGGCTCATACATATATTCAATTGATACCATAACTGATGTTCCTCCCTAATCATTCTAATCTTGCTAATGTTCCTAGAGTATAAGCACACCTTGAAGATGGGGGAATTTTCAGAAAGCTGAAAAGAGTTTAGAGATTTTACAATTATACCCTTTGCCCTGACTATTTTACCGATAAAGAAACTGAAGCCTAAGGAATTTGATATGTCCAGGTCAGCTGAGTTAAGAAAAAAACTTGGCTTAGAGCCTAGATGTCTTGACTTTCAATAGTGTTCCTTCTAGGATACCATGTTATCTTCTTCTGTTTCATTTGTATCTCTTCCGAATGCCTAGTAAAGTGCCACATACATACAAATCTCTCAATAATGTCAATAAAATGAACATAAGAGTTTGCATAACTGAAAAATTGACTCAAGTAAAGTCAGAAAGCAGAAAGGTAATTTTCTTACTTCTTTGCATGATGCCACCCTCCAGACCAGTTAATTGCTACTTTGCACTTTCCATCAATCAGGCATTGGGCAGCTGTGATTGTAGCCCCTCCTACAGCTGCTGCATAGTCAAATATCCCTTGAGTGGCTGGGCAGTCATAACCTTAAAGCAAAAATCAGAAAACTTTGTTAAAAGATGAATTCTAGAAAGAAGAGGAGTAGGTTGAGACATGACAACTTACAAAAATACTATACTAACATCAGCTCCAACTGAGATTTCTATCACAATACTGAGGAAAGGATTTTTAATAATGTTAGGGTTTGAAAGGAAAAACCTTAAAGATTAACTAGTCAACACATACAGACAGAGAAATTGAGGTCTGAGAGGTGGTATGTCTTGTCTACAGTCACACAGATCCAGGTCTGGAATGCAGGTCTCTTGATTCTCAGTTCAGTGGTCTTTCTAATAAACCAAATGCAGCTGTTTAATGACGGATAAGATAGAAAATTTAACCAGAATATAAGTCTATTCTTAAAATATAAGGTCACAGGACAGCCAAATCAGTGTATATACAGCCCTACCAGGCAGGAAAACTGCTATTAGGGCCTAAGCCACTGAAAGGTTTTCCTCCATCTGATCCATCATTCAGTTTTGCTCAACTCATTTGGTTTGCTTGGTAAGTGAGCTATGTGGTGAAACCAAGAGATTAAGATTAATGGCTTACACACTATTTGTTAATTAAACATTTATTAAAAACCAAAATGCCAATTATAAAATGTTAACTAGTTACAAGGTACAGATGAAAGGTGTTTATCTACCATCATTGCCTAGTTACAACATTACCTAGCCCATATTCTGTGGAATCTGGATGATCATCATCTCCTTCTTGGCTGACCTTCTGGAGATGCTGCAGATAGGCATCCGTATGGAAGGTGGCCATCTCCTCCATGGAGGCCACTTTTGGCTTAACAATCCTAACAGTAACAGAGAGAACAAAGAGAGGTGAATGAGTCAGACCCAGAGGATGCCAGAAGCTGCAAAAGAGCCAGCAGTCTGAACACAAAATACAACTCCTAGCTTCTGGTTTCAGTAGGCTGAAATAATAAACACATTCTGTTCCTCCACTGCACTATATAGTCTTTATTTCCTCACATCATGGTAATGATTCCATCAATAATGGGATAGATTTTTCCCTTCAGTTTATTGTTGTTGTTGTTGTTGTTAAGTGCCGTCGAGTTGTTTCCGACTCATAGCGACCCCATGCACAGCAGAAAGAAACACTGCCCGATCCCGCGCCAGCCCCACAATCCCTGCTATACTTGATCCCATCATCGCAGCCACCATATCAATCCATCTCG